AATGGGGAGAGAGACTAGGGATAGCTCCATTCGGGCGATCCAAGCAGTTCACTGGGCTACCCACCACGCCTCTCATCCTCCTCTTGTCCACTGACGCTGAAAAAGCGTTCGACAGTGTGGATTGGACGTTTCTGAGGACAGTGCTGGAGACCCTGGGGCTTGGCTCCCAAATGATGAGCTGGGTGGCCTCTCTCTACAGTGATCCATCAGCCCGTGTGAAGGTGAATGGTACCCTTTCCAGCCCCTTTAGAATTGGAAATGGCACCAGGCAGGGATGCCCTCTATCCCCGCTCCTGTTCGCACTCGCCTTGGAACCGTTCCTAAATAAGGTTCGCAGTAACCCTGATATTAAAGGCCTGACGATTGGCTCACAGGAACATAAACTATCTGCTTATGCAGATGACATCCTTTTTTTTGTTACGGACCCCGTCACCTCGCTCCCTAATTTGATCTCGGTATTTGCCCATTATGGACAGCTATCTAACCTCAAAATTAACTACCATAAGTCTGAAATTCTGCCCATCGCGGTCCCGTCTGCAATGGCTCACCAGTTGAGGCACAGCTTCCCATTCTCCTGGTCCACGACGGCCATAAGATATCTGGGTATTCAACTGACCAACCACTGCTCCCGCCTTTATGCACACAACTTCGAACCCTTACTACACAACCTCCAGAGAGATCTCCAGGACTGGGATCGCACATCGTTCACATGGCTGGGTCGCATTAACATACTGGTCCTCTTCTTTTTGCAGATGATACCTATTTTCCTGCCTCATACATACTTTGTAAAACTTCGCAGTCTGTTTATCCGCTTTGTTTGGGGGGGGGCAAGAGACCTCGGATAGCATATACCATTCTGCGCAGGCCTAAAGGGGCCGGGGGATTAGGCCTACCTGACATTAACCTCTACTATAAGGCTATCTCTCTCCAGAGGATTGTGAATTGCCACTTTTATGCCTCCGCTAAGCTCTGGGTACAGATAGAAAAATGCATGGCAGGTCGTGATTTAGCTCATGCCCCCTGGGTGCCTAGTGCTAGTAGTGGTCTTTTTGACCATACGTCCCCCCTGACTCATCAGACCCTCCGGCTGTGGGACAAACTGAATGCAGGAGGTCTCCTCTCACCCCCGCTATCTCCACTGGGGGGCTATCCATGGTTCCCTCCCGGGGGAGGATATTTCCTTCTTCCGCCGCTGGGACCTGCAAGGAGACCTCCGCTACCACAAACTCCTCAGCCGGAGTTCTCCGATGTCCCTGGAGGAGATTAAAACCAAATATGGCTACTTCCCCTTGGCAGATTGGAGGTATAGACAACTTGCCCATTTCTTTGGAACAACTGCCAAGGGCATGCGGCCCATGTCCTCTCTCACGCCCTTTGAGTCCCTATGTGCGGGAATCTACATCCCCGGACCGACTGGTATCATTCTTTTACGGCCTGCTTCTGTCCACACTCACAGGTGATAGACCAAGGTTCATTGGGGACTGGGAAAGGGAGCTGGGACGGAATCTCTCAGATGATCAATGGCACTTGATATACCGCTTCACACACAAATCCTCTGTAGAATCCAAAATGCACAAAACCAGTTATAAACTGCTGTCCCATTGGTATCGCACTCCGCTCTACCTGAGCACCATATACCCGGGGATACCTTCGCACTGTTGGAGGGGCTGCGGGCAACCAGGTGGCCGCCTACATATATGGTGGGAATGCCCTCTTGTACGGGGCTTCTGGCAAGATATTCACACACAAATTGAACTTATCACAACGGTTGACATACCAGATGATCCCATTCATATGCTGTTCCACCTCCCTTCCACGTCCATTAGCTCCTACAGGAGGGGTGTCCTGCCCCATCTTTTAGATGCGGCGAGGAGACTCATCCCCAGATACTGGAAGCAGACTCGGGTACTGGGGCGGTCTGAATGGGTGGCGCAGGTCACACTAATCCAGGAGGCAGAGGAGTGGGTGGCGAGGGGCGGAAACAAACCTGACCGCTTCTACTCTAAATGGGCAGCGTGGTTGCACTATGTATCAAACCCACCATGACGTGTGCTCCCATGAGGTTACCCAGGTTCTGGGCTGATATGTCACCCCCCCCCCAGTCTTGGCCTTCTTTGATGGTTTCACTTTGTGAGCTGCCCACTAGCACTGGATTACAGTTAGTACTGTCTGATACACGGAGACAGGTCGGCACGCGATAACCGAATACTCATGGTGGTGTCAGAGACGTCACCTTCTTTCCTTGAGGTCGAGCCTATATGATGTTGCCGGGCTGACTACCCACTTATTGTGTTATAATGTGGTTATGTATGTCATTGTATTTCTGTAACCTTTTATTTTTGACGTTGGGGTCAATGTTTGACCCACTTTTGCTCCTTGAATGTTCCTTTATGACTGTAACTATTTGAAAAACAGCAGAACATTATATTTAAAAAAAAATCATGATCCATAGTACTTAACATGTAGTTCTATGGATCATGATTTAACCCATTCATGTTAGCAGGGAAGAATTGAAAAACTCTATTGCTGCAGTGTACTCTATATGTAGTACATATTCCCAATACGCTGCAACAATAGATTTACAATTATCCCCTGCTATGGAATGGGTTAAATGATCAATAGTACAACTACATGTTATGTACATATTATGTAATATGGATCATGATTTAACCTATTCATCTTAGCAGGGGATAATTGTGAGCGCCTCCCACAAGCTGAGCACCGAGACACGATGCAGCGATCCTGCCCAGCGCCGACTACAAGAGGCACCGCGTGAGGCAACAGGGATCGGAGTGAAACTGAGTGAGGGAAGCTGGGACAGGGCTGGCTGTAAATCTATTGCTATAGTGTACTGGATGTGTGTAATGTATATGTAGTACATATAAACAGCACACACCTCCACTACAGCAATAGATTTACAATTCTCCCCTGCTAACATGAATAGGTTAAATCATGATCCATAGTACATAACATGTAGTTGTACTATGGATCATTTAAAGTCACCTGTCCCTTTAAGAAAAAGTATTGGTAATTGGTATCAGCAAGTACATGAGGGGAAGTACTTGTACTTGAAAAAGTGGTTTCGGGTCATCCCTAGCGCAAACGGTTGGCGCTATATAAATCCTGTATAATAATAATGTATATTTTAATGTTTATTTTCATTAGGCAAAGCTCTTCCCCACTGCATTTTATATTGTTTGGGCTCAGTGTCCTGAGCAGGGGCATAACTAGAAATTCTACATTATTTTCCAGTAAAAAAGTACATGTACAATTCAAACATTCAATTTAGTATATGATATGGCCTGTTTAATTCTCATTGACTACATAGCATTACAATCATTTAAACAATGTTATACTGCTATGTAAGCACTTTTTCCCATTAATTTTATTTATTGGAAAGTAACAAGATTGATCTGTATCCAAAAAGCCTATAAGAATATGCAAAGCTGGACCTGCCAGTAATTCGCGCAACAATACTCTACCATATAGCATTAGGATAGCATTAGGGTGGCATGCATTTTACAGCATGTTGTCAGGCATTTTAGAGTGCATTACACTGGACTATGTATTGCGTGTCAACATGCATTTTGGCGAGTTTCCATTGGGTTTACCAGAAAACATACAGGGGTAATTTAGGGAGCATTGGCTACCTGGCTCCTAGAATTTGTCCAGGTCTGGCATAATGCAAAAACCAAAAGGTGCATTTCCGGCCTTACCTGCATTACTATACAGATAAGGCAACCACGTTAAAACCCAACTGAACCCTCTTAAAAGGGATATTAAAGTCAAAAGGTTTTTAAGCTATTTCAATGGCTGATGAAATCACTTACAATGAATGCCACTCCTTGAGGTTTAAAAGTTTTTAAGCATACGACCATCGCAAGACAAAAGTCTTGCGATGGTCGTAAGGTGTATGGGCACCTTAAATAAAATCACAAATCATTTGGTGGGCACAGAAGTAAATATATGTTTTTCAACTGTGTAGGCTGTTTGCCTGGAATTTAACCAAAAATTGGTGGGCTCAAAACTAACAGGTCCATAGCAGCAAAGTGCTTATTCAAATGGACAGCACAATATCATTTATTCTTTCTGACATCTTCTGCTATCTGCCTAGCTGTCAGGCTAATCCAATGGCTTCAATACTTTTGAGCCCCCGACCTAGAACACGTATACAGGCCTGGAAAGCCAGAAGCCCTTACCTGCATACTTGTTTCCGAGTCAGTGGCTAAGAGTTTAAGCAATAGGGTTAACTTGGACACCAAGGCAAATAAACATTTAAAGGAGAACTATGGGGTCAGTGTTTTTCCCCATAGTTCTCCTTGGGGTAACGGGAGGACACAAACTAGCGTCCTCCCGTTACCCTAAGCTCAGTATACCGCGAGCTACAGCTCGCGGTATACTGAGACGCCGCACCTGGAGCGGATCCCGACTTAGATGACTGGATCCGCCCAGCTGCGTGAGTGACAGCTGGCTCTGCCTATCTAGAGGCAGAGCCAGCTGTACCCGCCCCCTCCCCGTCCGTTCCGCCAGTCAGCGCTGGCAGATCGGAGCGGGGAGAGGGGAATCCAGCCCCTCCCCCTGTCAAGGCAGAGAGCCGTGACAGGATCGAGAGGTGAGGGAACCCGGTATGTGTTCTCTCACCTCCCGATCTACTGAGCCGACCTGTGACAGTCTCATTGTCACAGGTCGGCTTAGAACTATGAGGTGAGTGGAAATCACTCATCTCATAGATCTCCTTTAATAGGAGAGATGGCAGCAATGGTAAATTACATATTTCTCTTAGGACAGGTTTCTGTTAATGTGGAGATTAACCCTCATTGACCAGGCAGGGAAGGAAACTTTTCCAATGGGCACATAGCAATACATATTTTCTAACTCCACCCAAAATAGATGAAGGTTTTGGCTTGAGCTTCCCTTTAAGGCTTCCACATAAGGCCACCCATCTAACTTCTCCTAAACTAGTAACTTCTGCAATTTCTAAGCAGTAATGAACAGAAAACACTGCTAGTTATTATATGTCAGTTCCTTGCTAATCTCTATCCACAAAGACCTGCACACGGTGCCAAGCATTGTTAAGTACACCGCGCAAGTTCCATATTGGGGCCACTGTATCAGGCTGCACATTGTAACTGCTATCTACAGCTTTGCAAATGATTGTTACTTCTTTGCCTTCAGTGGGTAGCGAGGCCTCCAGCTTCCATAATTTCCATGCCCATGACTGTCCTTCCTTTTGCTTCTCCCCAAATAACTCTGCCACATTCCATGTCTTCCCTCCATCAAGAGACACATCTACTCGCACAATCTCTCTCCCATCTCCACTCCAGGCATAACCGCCAACAGTCACTTTACCATCAGAATCTGGGATGATGGTTTGCCCAGGCTTTGGTTCTGTAATTGCAGACTGCACAGGCAGCTCCTGTATGGCAGGAGAGGATTTAAAATCCACCGTGTCCCAGTCTACAGATGGGTTGAATCCTTTGTAATCATTCTGCTGCCAATGGCTAGGACTCTCTTCTGTGCTCACCAGTACTCGACCCAGCCACTTCACATTGCGAGCACCCACTATCCCTGGAACAATAACTCGCAAGGGAAAGCCATGATCCTTTGGAAGCGGCTCACCGTTCATTTCATAAGCAAGGAGCACTTCATTTTGCTTGCTCATTGCTCGTTGAAAGGAGATAGAAGCTCCATATTTTGCTCCTGTCAAGTCTTGATCCAAACCTTCAAAGTGCACATGTAATGCTTTGGATGAGTCTTCAGTGTAGCCTGCATCTATTAATACATCTCTTAGCCGTGCCCCTGCCCATCGGGCATTACTGATAGCTGCTGTACCCCAGTCTAATCCTTTGACTTGTTTCACTGCATTCATCTCAGAGCGTCGGTTTCCAGCACACTGCAAGGTAGCAATAACCTCATGTCGGGGAAATTTGGTCTTTAGGTCATTAAGGGACAATTTCAATGGTGCTTCCTGATTTGATCCATGGGGTTTCTCTACAGTTAGTTGGAATTCATCTGGATTTATGTCAGGCACAGGTAAATGGTTCCTCTTGAAAAAAAGCTCATTTGGAGTTATGTAACTCTCTGTGAGAATTTCTGGTGGAGGCTCAGCATTAAATGGTTTAACACTATTGACCTTAAGAATTGGGTGTCGAGATGGATCTTGGGAGTAGGGATCAGAGAAGTCTCGCACCTCTTCCTTGTCATCTGGGCTAAGTAACCCCACTTTGTACTCCTGCAGAATTTGAATAACATGCTCACTTTTGTGCACACCATAAAGAGCCCAGAAAGGTTCTAAAGCTTCTCCAGCTGCCAGCATAACTCGGTCTCCTCCAGGATGTAACTCAACAAAATCTGTGATGTCAAACACTTCTCCAGCATAGGTCACCCACACCCTGTCAGCTGGTGTTTTGTGTTTCCTTATATCTTCTCGTGTATATATGGGGAAAAAGTGCCCAACAGCAGGGTGCTCTTCAGAATCAGCTTGTGCAACCTGTGACAAATACAAAATCTAGTTAAATATGCATTCACTTCAATTCTAAAAATATCTGTTAAGAGTAAAGAATGCAGAAGTGGTTATTTATGTGATCTCCCAGCAGCAGGCAGATGCGCGCGTGCGCACACACACACACACACACACACACACACCTTTTAAGTATCATGCCATCACAGCGCTTGCCTCTGTCAAGCAAACTGTATTTACTTCCTGTATCACCTCCATTTTATCCCCCTAATCAGCTGACCTTTACCGACCAATCTGCATTTCACCCGGTCCCCTCCATTAACCCACCATAACAGCTCAACTGTACCCCAAGCACAGCTCACTTCTCTCTGCAAGTCCATTCATCCCCTTTGCTCACAGTTCACTTTGGCACAACAACCTAAAGTGACATTGAAGGCAAATTTTGCCCCCCTAATGCTAGTGTAAGGGCTTACCTTAAATTATGCTTCCTTATCCGATTATCCTCCTCTTTCCTGTAGTTTTCAGGCGCTGGTGCCGGTCCCCGATCTAGCGCTGACTCCTGTGTTCCCGATACTTCCTGTCCCACGGAGTCTGTGCGGGTGTATGCTGCCTCCATTGACTTACCTTGCGTCTCATGGCCGAAGATCTGAACTTCGCATGCGCCCGCCCCAAGATCCTTTGCGGCCGCCCGAGCATCTTCAGATGTTTGGACGGGAGCGCGCGGCGAAGACGCACGTCAGTTTAAACCTATTTGTTAACCTTTTTTTTCTAAAATGTTTTTACATATATCTAATGCTTGCTAGCAGTTCCATTCACCCCCACATTGCAACTTACATTTACAACAACCACAATACTCGCCTGTTCCCTGCTCACTTCTGCTTGAAAACCTCCACTCGCCTACCAATTACATTTTGTAATAATACAGCTATTAACCACAAACATACCCATTCTAGTATGGGCACTTTTACAATAGAGTGTGTGAAATAAATATATATATTATTATTACCATCATTATTATTAAATATCATTAGCAGTCTATCTCATGCTTAAAGATTTTCAATTTTCTTTTTACTTAAATTAACTAGGAAAACACAGAAGTTGTGAAAGACAATTACTTTTCTCCGCTGTGCCTCATAAATCAAGAAACTGCCCAATCCCAGAAGTGCCCCAGCCGTGATGACCCCTTTTTTCCATTTATCTTCTCTGGGCCTCGCTTCCGTGCTCTGATATCTTCTGGATGTCTTCTCTTGTGAGCAGATCTGTACCCAAACCACCATCCGCTTCTGCAACCTAGGAAACAATACAATGGATAGCAAAATACTATGAATAACAATCATGGCAATCTCTGTTCCTACAGTACTGCCTGACTAACTACTCTTATTCAGCTGGCGTTATAAATATGACTGCAGGTTAACCCCATGGTCAGCTTTTGCAGCTTGCTAAGCTGCTGAATGACTGGATTATATAGATTTAAAAATACATATGGAAGACCAAATCTAAAGCTCAAGCCTTTGGCCAGCCTAACATTTCTTATAGACTATCCTGTATTTTAATGGTCTAGGTCTGGGGTAGGCAAACTCTGGCCCTCCAGCTGTGGTGCAACTACAAAACGCATTAGGCATGTGACAGACACAGACATGACTCCCAGAGGCAGATGCATGAAAGGATTTGTAGTTTCACCCCAGCTGGAGGGCCAGAGTTTGCCTACCCGTGGTCTAGGTCATGGGCTTGTGAATAATATATTGTGTATCCTTGCCAGTTTGTACATAGGTTTATGCAGCTCTAAGCAACCAGATTCTACCTTGTTTGCACCGCAGAGTGGAAAAATCTGGTTAGCTTTGGTAAACAAGCTTTTTTTTTCAGGGTAGGGATTTTCTTTTTTTTCACCAGCAAAACTTGTTTTCTCCACGCAACTACAATAATTTAGTTTAGGCAACGGTGTAGGTGCCCCGCATTTACAAAAAAACACAGGTCAACACCTACAACATAGTCTCCGAGGAGGAGTTTATTGCTGGAAGTTCATATCAGCAGCCAAATGCCTGATAAGATAAAGCCATAAAACAAATTGCCCTGGAATAGTGCGGAAACAGAAAGAGATAAGGAGTTGCCTTAGTAAAGAGAATGATTTTCCAACCTCATAATAGGACAGTAAGGGTTCATTGACACCGTAACACAGAGACACACTGTTTACAGACTTTAGGAGATAGTAATAAAAACGAATACAAATCTACAGCACAGTCATGGATTTTTTGCAAGTGTTCAGACTGAGTATTAAAAAATATGGCAGTGTACCAGTTATTAGAAGCATACAGATACAATATTGTTTACATTCAGATTTAATGTTCACCTTTGCTATGTTTTTCTAAAAGGAGCTAAATAAAAACAGGAAATATATGACTTATGAAAGTATGGGACTGATCACAAGTTCATATTCTCCTGCTTACCACAAGTAGGCTGGAAAAAATTCAAGTCTACTCAATACGACTGACATTTGCATTTGAGGCCTGTTATCCAGAAGTCAAAGTCAGTGCCCAATTAATATATACAGCAAAATTGGAGGTTGGGTAATTAAGGTGGAGCTGTGTTAAGGTGCCCATACACTGCTCTCACGGCAGAGAGCCGTGACAGGATCGAGAGGTGAGCGAACGCCGGTATGTGTTCGCTCACCTCCCGATCTACTGAGCCGACCTGTGGCAGTCTCATTGTCAGAGGTCGGTTAGAACTATGAGATGAGTGAAAAGCACTCACCTCATAGTTCTCCTTTAAGTGTTGTGCTGTAGCTCTGCCTTAACAGTAATTCGCTGCCATCTCCCCCATGGCTTTTTTGGGGTCCAGCAGAACACCTCTTTGGCCAATGGATGGCCACTGATGATGTAACTCCGGCATATGCATAGAGGGGGTATATCATCCCTGACGCCTGTCTCTATTCTCCGCATGCTAAGCATGAACCAGGGTGTACACTTCAGTATGCATGGATCTGACAAGTAAATCTGCTTCATTTGAGATCCATAGACTAAACAAGCACTTAACCCTTGCAGCACAGGGGTAACCCCCACTGCAAGGGTAAGTTTATGATTTTTTCCAGACTTCTTTAACTATTTCAAGACCAGGTGTTTAGACCCCCTTCCTGACCAGGCCATTTTTCAGTATTCAGCGCTGCGGTACTTTGACTGACGTTTATTCCGTCATGCAACGCTGTACTGAAATGAATTTTATTCCATTTTTTGGGGACACATAGAGCTTTCTTTTGGTGGTATTTAAACACCACTTGGGATTGATTTTTTACATTATGTTAGGAAACATTATTACCCAGTTTTTTGGTAAAATATAAGACATGGGGTCACGTCGGGTAAATAGACACCAAACATATCAAGCTTTAAAATTGCGCGCACCCGCGAAATCGCAGAAAACTACCATACCCAAAATTGGCCATAGGCGACACTTTAAAAGCTTTTACCACTCATCAGTTTAGTGTTATCAGTGATTGATGGGCCTAGACTTATTGCTCTCACTCCGACGTTCACGGCGATATGTAACATGTGCAACGTAATATGCGCAATCGTCTTTTTTGCACGTATGCGCCCCGACGCATGTTTGCATGCGTGTATGTATGGGTGGGGACTTTAAAAGATTTTTTTGGTTTTTTATTCTTTTATTATGTGTAACTTTACATGGGGGGGGGGACTTACATTTTTTTCCCCCACTAAACTTTATTGCTATCACATACAGGGGCTAATTAAACTCTCCTATGTGATAGCAAAATATGTGACAGGTCCTCTTTATGGGAGACATCAGGGGTCTCCAAGACCCCTGTCACCCAGGACCAAAAGAAGCTGATGGAGCACAGATCTGCTCCATCAGCTTCTTTCCAGCTTCTGAAGCTGGAGAGTGACACAAGAATGCGGAAGTGATGTATTATACACCACTTCCGCATTCTTGCAGAGGAGAGGGGACCGGAGGGAGCTCGTGTAACGATCTCCCTCTGATCCCGTGACACAGGCGCCATGCTGATCCCGGGCTCGCACCGAGCACAGCGGAGCCCGGTATCAGCGGGACAAGGGGGGGGGGACCGATCAGCACCCCATACACGCGATCCGCCGGCGGATCGCTTGTATGGTAACAGGCATCGTTGCCTGTTTTTAAATATCGGCCATTTGCCGTCTAAAGACACCCGCTCAGATCTAAAGACCTCTCGGCCGGCTGTTTCTTTACAACGGCCGGCCCTGAGGTGGTTAAACATCACAGCATGATGGATCACAGATGTTTATTCAGTATAGAACAATACACAGCAGATATATATTGTAGTAGAAAAATGATACGAAAAATATAATGTGCTGATAGATATGGAAAAAAAAAACATGAACTATATTAATCATTCATCTAATATGAAGCCTTACCTCTGTGGTCTGGTAAGGCTGCGTAGCACAAGCGATGACATCCCAGAAAGTATCTTCATGTCTGCATCAGGGACAAAGCAAACAGAAGCTTAGAAGGGTTGTCTCGTAAAATCACTTAGAATACTGAAAACATAATTCTCTTTTTAAAGGAATTAAAGAGCTCTACAGAATTGCACTGTGCTGTCCATTCATTAACACTGGGTGTTCAACATGAATTTGCTAATTGCTTGCCTGTCATGCTGACCCACCTGCAACAAGTATTCCAATAAGTGCTTCTGGCTTTTTTTTTTTCACCTTTCCTGCTCTGCATACTTCCAGGTCAGTAATGAGAAATTACTCATTACTGACCTGGAAGTATGGCATTTGGGCATATAATATTGCAAGGCTACTTTAAAGACCTTCATTTCTGGAATGTGTAAAATCTATTTTGTACATTGGACTTTTTTTTTTTTTAAAGCCATTGCTTTCATATAACAGCTATTACTTGCTAGTGAGATGATCCACTCTAAAGGTTTGTTGTTTACTATCACACAAATATGTTCCGATCACAGTCCTAATGAAATCATAGACCAGGTGTAGTAAATTAAAATTTTCATTGAGCAGAGGTCAGAATTGCAGTTCACCATTTAAGGTGCATTCACACCAGCATCTGCACTACAACGCACAGCTGCTGGTTTGTGTTCCCAGACACAGTGCTGATGCGCCGATTCCACACTGTTTATTTATTGGGTTATTAAACCCTCATTTGTTTTTGCATATATCTACTGCTAGCAAGCAGTAGATATATGCAAAACGATAATATAAAAAAACAAAACCTTTTTGAAAGGGTTAATATTTACCTGCGTCTCCGCCGCGCGCTCCTGTACGAGCATCTGAAAATTTCTTGTCCGGCCACAAAGGACCTTAGGGCGGGCGCATGTGCAGTTCATACATTTGGCCGGGAGACGAGGAGAGACACAAGGTAAGTATATGGAACAGCGTCCACCCGCACAGACTCCATGGGACATGAGCGAAGAATCATTTAAGGCAAGTCCTTACTTTAGCACTGGGGGGACGACTTTAGCCTTTAATGTCACTTTAACTTTTGCCATCACAAAGGGGCTAACAAGCCCATACCTGACAGCATTTGGTGGGACAGATTCCCTTAATGGAGACATCTCGAGTCTATTAAACTCCTGATGTCTTCACTGTCCTCCAATACAGAGAGATTGTCTGTATGCCTAGCACTTTAGCTGAGGTTTGACAGTTATTAAGCAGGAAGTTCTAAGAGCACAGCGCTCCCTGCTTCATTAAGCAAAGAGCAGATTCACCCACAAAAACAAAATCTTTAAAAAGTCTAAGGGCCTCATGCACATGGCACTCAAAGCTGCCGCTGGGTCTGCTTTACCATCATTAGCAAAACAAAACTGAACCGTGCTCATTATCTTATCTGTTCACCTTTCTCGCCACACCCAAAGCACTTTTCCCAGATAATAAACTTTCCAAAAGTAAAGTGTCTTAAGAAAATGTGTTTGCACTTCAGGAAAGAAATGTTTTAAAAACTATGTACAGTGCAGTTTGCGCATTCTAATGTGGTTAATGGAAGTGTTTAATGCTGCTTGAGCAATTCACTGCACAAACATTAACCAAAAGCTAAATATTTACTGCTATAACCTTTCAGAGTCCTCTTTAGCTTTAGAATTTTACAATGCAGATACAAGATGGCCATAAAATGTACTTGGCACAATTTCACTCGGATTCCTTGCAGGCTTGTTCACACCAACTGCGCAGCAGATGCAGAGCAGTTACAGAATGCATCAAAATGCATCCAATGTATTCCAATGTTATTTTAGGCTCTAGTTCACACCACAGCGTTCAGTTCCAGAGCATGTGGAAAAACTGCAGCAAGCCCTATTTTTTTCTGCTCTGGAATGCACCAAAACTCATGCAAATGCCCTGGAATGCACTGAAAGACCATTGTAGGCTAAAAAGAAAAACAAATGGCCAGGAATGCATCAAAAAACACTGCACTGCATGTGCAGAAACTCATGCAGATCTGGTCCGGATTTGGTGTGAAGCCCTAAGGCTGGGTTCACACCTAGGCGTATTGAATATGCGCGTTTGTCGTCACGTTTTTACCGCGATTCGCGGTAAAAAAAACGCGCGACACACGCCCGTTTCCGAGGGCTACTTGGCTGTATCCCAATGGAAACGCGCAACAAAAACGGCCCAAAGTAGTACATGTACCTTTTCAGGCGTGGGCCGTTTTGTAGCGCGTTAGGGACGGGCTGAAATACGGCAAGGTGTGAACCAGACCCATTGAATTCAATGGGATTTTCATGTTTGACCGTTTTGTAGAGCGTTCGTCGAGCGTAGAACACGCTACAAAACATTCAGGTGTGAACGAGGGCTAAGTCACAACTCACACTGCCTTCCGAACTACGACTCAACATCTGAACAATCATCATTGCTTGCTGTATGCAATGCATGATGGGATGTGAAATCAAGATTACATCTCATCAAGCAGCAGGGAAAGAGACACAAAGCAAACTGGGAATCCTGGAAGTTGTTAGAAGTGATGAGCAGACAGACGGCAGCACTCACTACATAAAAGGTTTTTTTTCAAGTATGCTTTGATTGCATTGTCAAAACTAGAATATGTACAATGCTCCGGCGCTTCCATCTTCGGTTCGCTCCGCTTCCAAGTTGCGAGTCTTCAACCACTTGATTGGCTGGGACCCAATGGTGTAGCTCCCACGCATGCACACAGGAGTTATTTAATCTCAGCATGCCGGGCCTGGCTCAGTGTACAGAAATAAAACAACAATTCTTAAATTTAAACAAAAAAAAACAAGCTTTTATGGCAGAAGGCTTACACAGTTTCTTCTGCCATAGAAAGCCAATCGGCCTTTTGTTAAAACAAGAAATCCCTTTACTTCCATTTTAAAATGCTTTTCAGTTCTAGACATTCCATTCGATCTGGCTTGGTTCAATGCACTGCTATAAGCCAACAAAGACTATTTACACAACGCAAAAGCACACGTTATCTAAACATGTAAAACATTTACAGAGTCGCGTGTTCAGTAAGGCCGGCTCTATGAGAACTGTACAGCAGTGCATGTCAATCATTTATGGAATGGCTACATTTAACAAGCCCCGGGTCCCTTCTATGTGTTCACTTACTGAGAGTACAAATCCATATGAAGACGTTCTTAAATTATTTTTTAGTAATTTAACAAAAGCAAAACATGTTTTTCTCACTACCATCCACTCCTGCTGTCTGTGGATCGTTCCCTGGTTAGTGGAAATATACTTCCTTATCAGGGGAAGATGTGACAAGAGGAAGCAAAGCCCTGCTCCTCTATCAAGATGGCTGCCACCAAGTCAAGACATACTGTAGAATGAGGAAGAGTAACTTGGTGGGTAGGTCACACAATCAGTCATGAGAGTTTAATTTCATGAAAATTGCTGTGTGGCCAACATTATGCCAACCTACTTATCAAATGAGTGAAATGCCCACAGGGTCTTCCATAAATATGTCAGCAGATGATTCAATGCAGCTGCAATCATCTCCCTAACAACATAAAGTGGAGTCCTATTGTAGATGATCAGGAAAGGATGCAATTAGGCCTCATTTACACTGGCAGTGTGAAACCTGCATTTAGAGCCAATTACAGGCATTTATATGCATTGAGAAATTGATTTTCAATGGTATCACTTGGGGGGAATTTATCATAGCAATTGCGAGTGTTTGAACTTGCACGGAATAGATTTGCAGCAGATTTATGATGCTAGTGTAATGTTGTTCATAAATGAGGTTTAATAGACTGCAGGAAAAAGGACTTGTAACTTCAGGCAAAAAGCTTAACTGTCACATCTTGAAGAAGTGGTCATGGGAACTTCTTAAGTTACCATTGTTTTCTTAGGTGATGCCCCAGTTTCAGACAGCCGCAGAACAAGTGCAGATGAAAACAAGTGCAAAAAACATGCAACGGAAAAAGTAGTGCAAGCTCTGGTCAAAACGGGTGCAAAAAACATGCAGTTGAAAAAGTAGTGCAAGCTCAGGTCAACACAGGGGCACAGGTTGAAAGACAAATTTGCACATTAAAAAAAAATGATCAAAGAATCTAAAACTGTCGCAATTGCTTTGATAAATTCCCCCCACAGTCTTTTCATTTATCTGCATTTATAGATAATAGAATTCTGTATATCCAGGATCCAATTAGAACTCTAAATGCATCCAAATCCACAGAAATATGGCTGTACGCAGGAACATCTAATTGCAGACAAAACGTGATCTGGGAAGCATAAAAGGTTGTTTTGCAGTATGAATGAGACGAGTTAAAATAAACCTGTGGCCAGGTTACACACATTCAGTATTTACAAATTCTTATTAGGCAGTGCAGTAAATGAGCTTTAAAACAAGTTCTGCAGCTGCCGGCACTGTGGAGCAATTCAGTCTTAAAATTCATAGTAGAAACACTGAAGTTTCCAGCAGCCCAGCTCACTCACCTCCCCACTCCTGGAGCTTCTGCTCTAGGTTTACATTAGAAATTAGAAGACTGTTGTGTCGCTGCTGGAAGGGGGGGCAGGGGGAGCCGAGATGTTGAGAGAATAACTCAGTGCTTGTTCTGTGAAGAATGAGTTGCTCCACAATGCCTGCTGCTTACAGTCAACACAAAGTCTTGCAGTGATGTAGCAGCTGCCTAGAAAAAAAACAGAGCCCTGAGAGGGACCAGGAAGATTCCAGATGCAAAAGATTCTTCAGCAAACATAGCAAGTATGAGCAGCATGGGCAGTGATCGTTATAGAATATACTGCACTGTCCTTCCCAGGTAAACCTTTCATGCCTCGTATCAGCTGTCACAAAAAGCTCAGACTTGTAAATCTTTCTTACGGGTGGACTTCTGAAGGAAAGTTACGTTGGAGCAGCGATTACGGTTTCCTTTACCAAGTGGAAACAACGTTGCAATTCTTCAAAACTGCTCATTTGTCGTGGCCGTTTCCCTGCCAGTGTAGCTACTCATTTTATATATATTGATTGGCTTAGGGCCTGTTCACATGATATCAGGTCCTGATCATGTGCAGACGCGGTGCTACTGATGCAGTGCGTTTTTGCTGCGTTTTGATGTGTTCCAGTTTGAAATTTTTTTATGCTGGAGTGGGGCTGTCAGTATGTTAGCTGCAATGCAGTTCGTTTGACGTGTTTTGCGTTTCCTGACCGGACAAAATGTGACATGCAGTATTTTTTCTGTCGTAACCTGAACGGACTGCGCACGTGAGAACTGTAGCCCATAAAACATATAGGGATACATTGGGATGCATTTTTAGTGCAGGAGCGAACGGATCAGGTCAGCACAGAAAACGGACGTCGTGTGAACAGGCCCTTAAGGTTGGGTTCACACCTGGGTGTTACTATAGGCGCCTTTTTTCAGCTCGTTTTTTTAGTTCAGCGAAACGCGCATTCGACACTCATTTTTATACCTCCCTGGCGGATTGATTTTTTTTATATTCCTTTATTTTCTCTTTTTCGGGTTTTTCTTTTTAACTTTCAAACTTCCCGCCGTTTCCACCCCCTGCGACGCGGACGCTCACAAGGGACGGTACCCAAAAGCGGCCGGAAGACACAGCGGGGATCGCGCATAAGGTAAGACCCACGCTGTATTCCCGAGTGTGGCTCGGGGTTACCGCTTTGTTAACCCCAAGCCACACTGGGGAATACCAATGGATACGCACGGAAATACGCCCCAAAAGAAGCTCCTGTACTTGTTTGGGCGTAGGGTGTTACGCCCATAGGAAATTATGGGATTTCACTTGAGCGGTTTTCGATCAGCGCTGAAAAACACCAGGTGTGAACCCAGCCTTAGAGTTGCTGCTGTATTCTATGTGCCTGCTGTTGCTTGCATGGAAACCATCTACTCTGCGACCATCTTTTATTTATTTCCTGGAACAGGTAGATATTAAATCCAGGGAGGCATTTTTTAAAATTTCGAATCACCTGTTTAAAAGGAAGAGCCGCATTCACTAAAAAACACACAGCCAGAAGGAGAGAGGAGGGTACAACCTTGTACAAAATAAAATACCTCCACACAAGAATGCGCCTCAGGCCCCGCTGTGTAGGATACAAAGGGTCATTGTGCTATCAGTAGTCCTGACGCTGGCGGCAGCTCACAATCACTTACTTCTATGACGTTTTGTCCAGCAAGGAAGCAACGCCATATGAGCAGGTGGGAGCCAGCAACACATCACTACAGTGACATGGCCTCAAGCATGCCAGACACAGCACACCTACCATCACGTCACCTTACTTGATTGTGTAATCTATTTAACGGGTTAGATAAGAGTACTTGCAGTTGTCTATAATGTGCGGATCCGGTGGATCTCTGAGGCTGGATTTATAGGTGGATGAGGAGAGTTGTGGTCGCTGAGCCTGTACAAAGCAATGACAGTGGCTGCAGCTATCCGCCGGTGTCCAAGACGCACACATGGAGTGATTACTTGTGGTTTGGGACAGATGATCTCCCCTGGACACAAGGGGGGGGATTCATTAGAAATGGGGCAGAGTCTTATAGCAACGGATCAGTGGCTCTCTTCAGTTTACCTTTAAAAATGAAAGAGAGGTGATCGGTTGCCATGGGCAATTGCTCCATATTTTATGAATCCCCCGCCCAAGATGTCTGCTTCCCGGGGTGATAGTCTATCCCTAACCTCGGGTAATCGCTCCAGGTACCATTACATCCAAAAACTGGCAGATAGTTGCGGCCACCATTAGCCTGTCATTGCTTTGTACAGGCTCAGCGGCCACAACTCTCTGCACAAGTGGATCCAGCTGCAGGAATACTTCAGATTCTTGTCACAGTTGGGACATTTCCCGAGGCACATCACGCCCTGGACAAGCGCACCTTTAACAAACATTAGGATAGATTCCTGGCTAATGTAACATTTTGGCACCCAGATCATCAAAATGATTTTTAATGCCCAAAGTTACATAACAGTAATGTCAGCTTTAATTATGTAACCCCCTATAGCAGCCCATGTGCAGTAAAACCACAGGACTTAATAGACCACCCAGCTGCAGTGTGATGGAAAGCAGAGCAGTAACCCCACTAGGTCTCTAGCAGTAAACACGTAGTCACCAAGAGTGAGATGCCATTGACATTGCACACGTGTACTCCCAGCACTCCGCTGACGTATAGCCTATACAGACAATGCTAGAGAGGTGCCACAGTGCTGGAGGAGGCATGTTGTACGACAGCGGCAATCGGCCCTGTATGCGAAGCTGGCGGCTCACTATATGGCATTGTACGATCGCAGACCCCGCATTTTTGTACCTCTTGAGATCCCGTGCCTCCTCTCCGCTGCCCGCCGAGCTCCCCGGCTCGCCTCTCACAACTTCAACTATTATACGGTGCGAGCGGTGACGTCAGTAGGCGGGCTCTCCCCACACCACTCTATTCACATGGCCCAGCTGGGGGAGCGCGAATCCATAAGGAGAGGAAGTTGGTGTGGGAGCTCCAGGAGACTGATAGGAGGACTGAGGGGAGGAGCAGGTTAACCACTTGCTGACCAGGGTGTTAAAACTCCTTCCTGGCCAGGCCATTTCTCAGTATTCAGCGCTGTGGTACTTTGACATTTATTCCGTCATGCAACGCTGTACTGAAACAAATTTCATACCATTTTTGGAGGACAGATAGAGCTTTCTTTTGGTGGTATTAATCACCACTGGCAGTTTTTTTTTTAAACTATATATAAAAAAAGTACCCTAAAATTCCTATGAAATGTAATGCAACATTATCACCCCATTTTTTTGGTAAAATATGGGGTAATGCCGGGTAAATAGACACCAAATATGTCAAGCCTGAAAATTGCAGAAAATGACCACCCAAAATTGGCCACAGGCGATGCTTTAAGCGCTTTTACCGCTCATCAGTTAATAGTGTTATCAGTAATTAATGGGGCGGGTAATTTAAAAAAAAAAAAGTTATTTTAGCTCGCGGTATACTGAGCTCAGGGTGACGGGAGGACACTAGTTTGTGTCCTCCCATTACCCTAAGGAGAACTATGGGGAAAAGCCCTAACCCCATAGTTCTCCTTTAAGCTTTATTTTATTTTTTATATACTTGAATATTTTTTTTTACACTTAACTTTATTGCTATCACATAGGGGGATAAGAAACCCCCTATGTGATAGCCAATTCACATAACAGGTCCTCTTTATGGAGACATCGGGGGTCTCCAAGACCCCTAATATTACCTGGGGACCCCCAGAGAAGCTGATGAAGCAGAGATCTGCTTCAGTAGCTTCTCACCAGCATCTGTAACTGGAGAGTGATACTGAATGCAGGAAGTGATGTTAAACACGGGCACAGCGACGGCGGTACGGGGGGTGCACACCTGCAGCTACTACAAGCGATCGGGCGTCTCTAGACACACATCACGCACTCATTTAAAACAAAACACACACATCGCACACGTAATGAAACACATATCGCACGCGTAATGAAACACACACATAAAAAAACACACACATACCGCACACGTAATGAAACACACACACACACATTAAAAAACACATACTCTGCTGGAGCCAATAAAATGAATATCTATGTAAAAGCTTTGATATAAAGGTGTTCATTGATACCTTTGCTCATCTCCATAACCCCTTCATCTGCACAGGTACAGAGCACAGGAAGTTATCATCTCACAAAATTTCTGGCAAATTCAACAGGTATTTTTTGCACTTCTCACATGAACATAATAAAACACTTTCAATGCCAATAAAGGCTTATTATGAGGGTTTACATAACCTGGGTAAACCAGGAGGTGAAAAAAACTGGAGCGCTGCCAACCCTAGTCATGCCCCATGAGTATAACTTATCCCTAGTCCATAGATGTTTATACACTCCCCAAAAAAAGGTCAATACCACTTCCCCTTCTAGCCAAGAACACAAGTGGAACAGAGTGACAATGGTGAACCACACTTACACAGTGTATTGGAACAGCCACCCTCAGTCTTCATCAGGGGGCCTTCATGGCAGGATCACCGTGTATTATGTTTAAAGGAGGCCGAAGATTTGGGCCGTTTACATAGGAGCCTTTAGTTTCAATCAGCAGTGAATCTGTGGACGGATCCCCTACTGATCGGAATAGATGTCACCATTGTGACATCCATGCCCATCTAGTTTTCTCCTCTATCTTGCGACAGAAGAAAAAACAGACAATACGGGACCCATGTTGGTCTATGAGGAATCAGATGCAAATGGACATGTCTCTGTTTAAATCAGATTACCCCCGATCTGCCACAATCATGTCCACTGAAACAGAACTCTTAGGCCCCATTCACACGTAGCGATTTATCGCACGATTTCCGCCCCGATATCGCGCATTTTTGCCACGCGATAGCGCGAGAAGTAGCCGGCTAATGATATTCAATGGAGCTGTCTTAGTTCCATGTCGCTCGCCGCGGTCGCAAGTCGCTTCTACAGGACCCTTTTTTCGGCGGATTTTGTGCGATTTTGCTTTTATCTAATGGAGCCCGACGGAGAAGGTCGCGCTACCGTCGCTGGAACTTCGCCCCGAAAGTCGCGCCATCCCGGCCGCTGCAAAAGGTATGTTGCTACGTGTGAATGGGACCTGATCAGTGGCGTAACAATCACCATAGCGACCCAGGCGGTCGCTATGGGGCCCGGAGCACAGTGGGGCCCGGCCAGATGCCGTGCGGGCCGCCTGGGTCGCTATGGGATCTTCTGCTGCTGGCTTTCACTGGCGTCTGAAGACGAACACGCCGCTGTTCAGATCATCTGTGCAGCGGCGCGTTCGTCTCCACAGTCAATGAGAGCCAGCAGCAGCGGGGGAGCAGGCTGGGCCCGGTGTTCTACCCTGTCGCGAGCCTCTGACATCACCGGTAGTGGAGGAGGAGGCGGGCCCGTGCTCGGCAGCAGGGGAGGAGGCGGCCTCGGTGACGAAGAAGGAGGCGGGCCCGGCGACGGAGGAGGTAAGGAGTGCGACCAGCCCACCTGAGGGTGATCCTGCAGAGCCCACCATAGAGAGTCTATGGTGGGCTCTGCAGAGTCACCCTCAGGTGGGATCTCGAGTGGGCTCTGCAAGGGGTATAACTAGAAATCACGGGGCCCCATACAAAATTTTGCTATGGGGCTCTGTGATTTCTAGTTACGCCCCTGGACCTGATCCATTTGTTTTTTTGGACATGGCCGGAGACAGGGGTAATCGGATGTAAACGGACACCCATCTGTTTAGATCCGGCTGCCCATTGACTAACATTGGGCTTCTGATCAGATTCACCTGAAAAAGTGACAGGTGGAAAAGGGCCTTATAAAAAAATATTGAAGCTTATATGAGTTTTAGTAATTGGGTTTAGATTTACTTTCAGCTAATGTTTACACATATATATTTGTTGATCTGCACATAGAACAACAATACTTTGTTCTTTCATAGAATATTCTAATTACATGCTCATCAAGCATCAACAGTGTGCAATGTTTCACAGTCAATATCTTAATAACTGTAACAACAATCATGAAATATTTTATGTTTTAGGACTGGACAGTTCATAAAATATGGTTACATTTTAAAGTATACTAAATTTCCAGTCATAAACATAAACCGGTCATAATGGGCTGCTGTTTCTGACCTACTTCCCTACATGCTGGCTGCCTGGCTGGTATGCCAACTCGCTTCAAAATCTTGCAAATCAGTGACATGTAGATCATAAAAGTTAGAGAAAAAAGTCAGAGACCCTTTTGAAACTTTACCCAATGATATCTTACCGGAAAGGTTTACTCAGAGTAAACTTTTCAGGGAGAAAATGCCTCTCTCGCGGACGTCAGGGAGCCGCTATCTAATAGAGGGAGACTCCCTGAACATCAGGGAGACTTGAGATCCCTGCATTGGTATTATAGCAAGAGGGTCAGCATGACAACCTGACTCAGTGGCGTAACAATCGCCATAGCGACCCAGGCGGGTCGCTATGGCATGTAGGGGTGCTGACTGTCACTGACACAGCTCAGCAGCGGCCGCGGCGCATTTCCCCTCACAGCCGCTGCGGAGCTGTGTCAGTGACAGCCAGCCGCTGCGGCAGATGAGAGCGGTGTTCAGAAAGAAGGAGAAGGCGGGGCCCACCTAAGAGCAACCTTCGAGAGGCCCTTCGATAGCAGAGGAGGCGGGGCCCGGGGACGGAACAGGAGTTGGGGCCCGACGACCACAGAGGCGGACAGCGCTGACAGGTAAGAGATCTCAGACCCTGTAGAGCCCACATTAGAGAGTCTATGGTGGGCTCTGCAGGGTCACTCTACGGTGGGCTCTGCAAGTGGCATAACTAGCAATCACATGGCCCCATACAAAATTTTGCTATGGGGCCCTGTGATTTCTAGTTACGCCCCTGACCTGACTGCTAGCATTTCAGAAAGAGGTTTAGATGGCAGCTTCCATATTTTTATTATGTTTCCTGTAACCATTACGTATTGTGAACTGCACTGTACAGCCCTTACAATTCACAAAGCTTTAACAGCAGGATAGAAACATTTATTTTCAGCCATGTAACTGTAATTTTCTAATTTAATGGCTCTATCCTGAAAATAGCTGTCATTAGGCTCAGTACACAAAGCTTTACCACAAGGTTAGCAGACATCCCAACTCTATTAGATAGCGGCTCCCGGCCGCCCGGGAGAGAAACACTTTCTCCCGGAAAGCTTTACTCTGCTCGATCGAGCAGAGTAAACCTTTCCCTGCTGTTTTTTCTCATCAGAGCCGCCGGCCGCCGTCAGTCAGAAAAAAAACAAAACAGTTTGGGAATGCATAGCTAGATTCCTATTGGCTATTTCACTTTTCAATAGCCAATAGCAAACTAGCTATTGCACGCGCCCACTGCTGCTGTCAATCAGCAGAGGGGGACCTGCAGTTCTCCATCAGGTCCTCTTCAAGTGATTGACAGCAGCAGAGGGAGGGTGCAATAGCCAGCTTGCTATTGGATATTGCAAATTGAAATAGCCAATAGGAATCTAGCTATTCATTCCTATGTTGGTTCTTTTTTTTTTTTTATTGTGACGGCAGCAGCTGTCAGAATAAAAAAAAACAAAAACCTCCATTTTGAAAATGCAAAACCCACTTGAAGCACACTAAAGCCTGTAGATACAGGCCCTCATCCTGGTGTTTTAGCTTTGTGATTTAAGCCTTTCTTGTTACAAAAAAAGAATCTAACATACCTATCCCTTGAAAAAGATTATGTATGCGCATTTTATGCTTGATGTGGCAGGTCATTGTCAATCATGTTGCTGGAGAACCAAAAATCATTATCCTAGGCTACTCTTTTTACCCATCTAAAAATATTATGACTACTGCAATAAAGAA